AAGTGAACAGATAAAGAAATTGTGGTACTTCCATACAATGAAATACTACTCAGCAATCAGGAAAGAGCCACTGATACATGCAATAACATCAGTGAATCTCAAAACCCTAAGATGAACACAGAGGCCTTAAACAAGAGTACATTCACATAGTATCAGAAGTTCCATAACAGGCAAAATTAACCTTTAGTGACAGAGAGCAGATGAGCAGTTACCTGGGCAGGAGGTAAGAAGACTGACCACAAAGACACAGGGGCCCAGGGACACACCTGGGGTGACAGAAATAATTCTGTATCTTGGCTGGGTTGGTGGTTGCACAGTTGTATGAATTTGTCAAAACTCAATGAACTTAAAGATGAATAATTTACTGCATGTAAATTATACTTCAATAAAGCTGATTTTTAAAAATTAGCCAGAGAAACTAACTTTCAAGAATAATCATTCTTGAAAGACACTTTCAAACCAAAAGCGAGAGACAGAGACTAAAAGATGTAATTCCAGCAGAAGGAAAGTAAGTCAGACTGAAGTTCTGAGAAACAAGAAGTAAAAACCAAAAAAGTAGTAAAAATGTCCATAAATCTTAAACACTTAATGTAAAACACAAAGCAGTACCATCATATGGATTTTCTTTTTTTAAGCTAAAGTTAAAACATAAATTAAAAGTGTGAACATTGGTTTGGGAAGTGATTATACTTAAAGTATCCCAAGTTTCCTTTTATAATTAAAAGAAAGAAGAAAGGTCCCAATTAACGTCAGAATAGTAAAAATGTATGTTACAACATCAAGAGTAGCTAAAACTTCTGTATATGTGTCAATACTCAAACTTACACTTTAAAGGAATGTACTTTATTGTATGTAAATTATACCTCAACAAAGTTGATTAAAATAAAAAAAGACTGTATAGCTTTCAAACAAATTAGGGTGAAAAAGTGAAACAAAAACATACTCAATCCAAATGAAGGCCAAAAAAAAGACAAAGACACAGAGATGAAACAAATGGAAACACAAAATAAGATCTCATAAATATAAAACCAAATACAGTAATAATTATATGTAAATGAACTAAATGTCCCAGTTAAATGGCAAAGACGCAGACTTGATTTTTTTAAATCCAACCATATACTGTTTGTTTATACTATATACTGTTGTATATAGTAGTTTATAGTATAAATTATACTGTTTATACTATATACTGTTTAAAAAGATACACACCTAGGGATATCAAAAAGTTGAAAGTAAAAAGATTTAAAAAGATAACAGGCAAGGGGCACCTGAGTGGCTTGGTAGGTTGAGCATCTGACTCCTGATTTCAGCTCAGGTCAGGATCTCGAGTTGTAGGATTGAGCCTGCACTGGACATGGAGTCTGCTCAAGATTCTCTCCCTCCCTCTGCCTCTGCCCCCCGACTCATGCACTCTCCCTCTCTCAAAAATAAAAATAAAAGACACCAGGCAAGTCACCAAAGTTAATTTAGCTACATTAATTTTTTTTTTTTTTACTTTTTTGCCTTAAATTCTTAGAGATAAGCAACTTTACAACATCAGTAACTTCATAACTATTAAAAGTTCATTTCAGGGATGCCTGGGTGGCTCAGCTGGTTAAGCGTCCGACTGCTGATTTGGGCTCAGGTCATGATCTTGGGGTCCTGGGACAGAGCCCTGCACTGGGCTCTGCACTCAGCAGGGAGTCTACTTGGGATTCTGTTTCTCCCTCTCTCCCACCCCCTACCTGCTCTCTCTCTCTAAAATAAAATAAACTCTTTTTTTAAAAGATTAAAAAAAAAGGGGGCAGGAAAATCAAGATTTGGCACTGTAAGCCTACCATTTAGATACATGGGAATTTCAACTTCAAAAACATGCTAAAAGTGATTCCAGGAAATAGCAAGTGGGAAGGGGACCCAGTTTTTCCTGATTAAACTATATAAAACTATGTGACTCTTCAAATTCTGTCCATACATAACTTCAATAAAAATTTAAAACCAAATTAAAAAGAGGAAAAAAAGAAAAACAAAAGTCCATATGGTAACTGTCATCATGCTACCACAAACATTTGAAAAAAAGAGCTGTGAAAATTCAGAATTTTGACACTTCCAATATTCTGCCATTAAGAAACAAAAGCAAATAAAACTGTAATTGTCACTATGAATAAATAATTATAGTTTTAAAAGCATGGTAAGGGCCTTCAAAAAGTCTGTTGATAATTATTTTAACAATTCTATATCTTGCATTCAATTTGCTTCCATCTGGCCACTGAATAATAGCCTTAACACATGTGGAAACAAAGTGGATGGTGTTCAGAATCCCAACAAACACATCAAGTAATTTTAAGCTCCAATGGTTGATACTGAAAATGACATGCAAATCCAAATGGAAGAAGTCATAATCGAAATTAATTTCATTTATGTTTAATATGTCATGATCTGACAGTATTTGATAAGATGATGGCTGAAAAAAATCCTTTCAAATACTTCTTATCTGGAACCAACCAATATTTTTAATTCTCAAAAATATATTACTTAAATACTGCTGCTTAGATATAGTTCCAACACACACTTCAAAAAAGAGACTAAAGTATTTGAACAATGCGTTCCTCTGAAATTTAAAAATGCAAAAGATAGGGCTCCTGGGTGGCTCAGTTGGTTAAGCGACTGCCTTCCGCTCAGGTCATGATCCTGGAGTCCTGGGATCGAGTCCCACATCGGGCTCCCTGCTCAGCAGGGAGTCTGCTTCTCCCTCTGACCCTCTTCCCTCTCGTGCTCTCTCTCTCTCAAATAAATAAATAAAATCTTAAAAAAAAAAAACATTTAAAAAAAATGCAAAAGATAGTCAAGTGCCAACACAACTACTTTAGAAATGATTTTCCAGTTATGTAAATAAAAGACAATGTGCTATTCCCCATAACACATGCTACAGAAATACAGCTGTTCTACATTATTCTTTATGGCAAAATAGAGAGACACATTAATAAATACATGTTATCTGAAATACTTGAAGCAGCTTCTTTTGCTTAAACATAATAAAAAGGAGTGACTCACTTGGGGAGACTTTTCAGAGCACTTACACTCTGACAAACCTGTCTTCACCATCTGACCCTGGCCAAGTCAGACCAAAAGTAGGAACCTGCTCTCCTACAAGCAGCCAAACTAAAGGACAAGCTGGCTGGCTGTCAGGTGCCGAGCAGGAAACCATCAAGGATAGCCTGTTCCAGGTGAAGCATTAACAGGCAGACACACAAGAACTCACCATCACAGCCTACAAGAAAGAAGTGGCCTGTGAAAGAATGAGAATCAAAATCCTGGCCTTGACACCCATTAAAAAAAAATTATTTTTCTTTATTCCCACATCAAAACTCTTACCATTTTTAAACATGTTATATAGTTCTTATACATACAGAGAGAAGAAAGTAGGTGACTTCTTCACATAATAATCAATCCCCTCCCCACCCAAATCCCTTCCACAATATTTTTCTGCTTTGAGTTAGCAGTATTTATTACCTCCAGAGTTGTATTTTGAGTTCTTTAGCTGGGCACAAAGGTGTTGAAAAGAGTAGCCAGATACTTCTGGTACGTTCAGTGGGAGAAAATCACCCTGTATCGTTTCCCAAATGCCTCTTCCTGCATTCTTGTTCTCTTTTTGACAGCGCTCTCCTTTATCCCTGCCTTCTTTCTAGTTCCCCTGATTTCAGAGGACCCTCCAACATCCCCCAAATCTCTGAAAGTGCCAAGGAACTGAGGAGGGGAGGAAGGGCAACCTGCTGCTGCTCCTCGTGCATCCAAAGCTCCTAAGTTCCTAAAGAGAGCCCTGAATATGACAACTGTGAAATACAAACATTAGCTAGCAAGCACAGCCCAGCCCACCTTTGAGCAACATGGTATGAACTGCACGGGTCCACTCACACATGGATTTTTTTCTGATACATACAGTATAGCAGTTTACTTCCTTATGATTTTCTTAATAATGTCTTCTTTTCCTTAGCTTACTTTACTGTATGAACACAATATATAATACATATAGCATACAAAATGTGTTAATCAATGGCTTATATTATGGGTAAGGATTTCAGTCAACAGGCTATTAAGTTTTGGGGGTGTCAAAAGTTATACACGCATTTTTTTACTCTCCTGGAAGGCTGGCACCCCTAACCCCTATGTTTTTCAAGGGTCAACTGTCTTTCCTTTTTTTATTTCCCACATATAACCTTACATTAAAGTCCTTTTCTTTAAGCAACTAGGAATTAAATGTATGGATTTGGGAGGCATGGGGTCCTGTAGTAAGAGCTGAATAAATCTGAGATTATCTGGTTTGAATGCTTTATTTTACAGGTTAAGATCCTAGGCAATTTCAGGGACTTATTCAAGGACCCACCATAAGGGGGCAGCTGAGTGAGAATAAGAAACTCTATCTACTAATTGCCATCAATTCAATCCGATTTACTTGCTATGTAACCCACGCTAAGTAAGTAGTACATTCCAGTAAATAAATGAGGGTAAGAAATGTTAATGAGAAGTCACTCTCCCTGTGAACCAACTCAGATATAAAGACTTCACATTGTTCTCCCCTGGCCCCCCAGTTATATGGTGACTGTCAGGAAAAACAATCCAACAAACAGAGACTTCAGTTTTAATTTAGCAATTTCTCAGCTCCCACCTCCCCCTTCAGTTGGATGCAACTGACAGAAAGACGACTTCAACATAAGATTTTAAAATGCCATTTTAAAGATTATTTTTTAAAAACTATGCCAATTAAAGCAATGAGCCAAAGTGATGAAAAAATGTAAAAGCTAGTCCAAAAATTTAATGAGCTAGTCCCCTCATTTTACAGATAAGTAGTTTGTAGCTCAGAATGCTAAAGTAACTGTCCAATGTCACCCAGAAAGGCAATACTACTTTCATATTTTAGAAATAAAAAGCAAAGGGAAAACAGGGATTACAGGCCTAAGGAAGGAAAAACAAAAAAGAACTGTTTCTTAAAATCAATTAAGATGCTGTATTTTCTATATTTATACCTGAAAATCATCAACAAGCTCAGGGAAAAGGTGTTCATACATTTTAAGTTCTTCTATCGTTCGTCCGGGTTCCTGCTGGGGTTTTAGTTTGTTAATATCCGTTTCAATATCATCATTCTGAAATAATAAAAATGTAACCAGTTAAGAAAAAGGTAAAATTACAGACTACATTTCAGAATCAAGTTTTCCAAATTATTAATTACATGTAGAGAATAATCACTGAATAAAGGTTGTACTAATTTTACCATAAATGAAATTTGCTGGTATTGGGTCATTGTTGTGTTGAAAATAGTATTTGGGCTCCTCAAGATAGAAAACCTAGTGTCAAGATCCAGACTAAAGGATGCTCCCCTCAATCTCCTTAGTTGCCATAGTTTTACTCATATTAAAGGGTAAACTTAAGAAAACTAAATTGAAAAATATAAATATATGATGGTGGTGGTGGATAATCAAAATAACTAACATATACTAAGCACTGAAAATGTGAGAAGCACTATGCTAAGGATTTTACATAATTTAATCTGCAGAAGAACTCTATGAAGTAGACAGCATCATTACTTCCATTTAACTGAAGAGGAAACCAAGGTAGAGAGAGGTTAAGGGGCTTGCTCAAAATTACATAGTGTGCAAAGAGGATGTAAAACTAATCATGGATTTCAGAGCATACTCTGTTGGTCAGTGCACTGCCTCAAGACAAACCAATGATTACCCTGTACTCTTGTATTCCACGGTCAACAAAGTTCCCTTAGAAAAGCTCAGTGTCACCACACACTCTTTTTCTGGGGGAAAAAAGAGTAAAAAAAATTGAAAAACAGCCAGAAATTATTTCCACGCCCCTTTAGGAAGGAAGAGGGTAAATTTAAAGGGGAGGTATGACCTCAGAAAAACAGGATATGTATCTGGGATTAATTCAATCTGTATCTGTTCAAAGACCTAATATACACTGTGCCAGAAAGACAAGTGTCAGTTTACCTACCATCCAAGCTATTCTCTCTATGACCTTCAACAAATCTGGCCTCACACAAATACAAACTCATCATTATCTTCATTGCTAAAGAGAGATATAAAGACCACTTACTAATTTTCAATGGGTTTTAATTTCAGTGAGTAAACTTACTTTTAGCCTTAAATCTACTCTACCATGCTTCAATCCTTATAATGCTTTATATACATGTATCTGACTAAATATATACACTTCATATTACCATATTAATTTAAAAGGAAAAACATATTTTATATTTCTCATAGTTCATATTCAGGAACTTAGCTATTATTTGTATAACCAATAAAAAGATTTTCTCCCTTGCCATAAATAATAAACACTGGTTGTATTTAAAGAGTATCATGTTAGTGTATAATTATTGTATAATTATTAGGACATGAACATGGAATTTCATAGATCTTAAATTATGCATTGATGAACCAAAATATATAATTTCCTTGTTTGGCATCTAATAAAGTAGACAATGCTTTCAAAATAACAAAAAGTTTACAAAAGTATTCCTTCTCTAAACAGACCAGAATTCAACATTCAATACTACTTCATGAAAATAGAGCCTTACATATTTGCTCTCTACTTTCAAAAAAAATGAATTTATCTGTAAAATAGGCACTGTGAGAAAAAAACTACACTTTGAGAGGTCAATAGCAGGAAATTTTGTTTTGGTTTAGGGGAAAACAAAGATGAAGAGCTCCTGACAGACTTAGGAAAAAAAAAAAAACAACACAGCCACCTTCCACCACTACGTAAAGTTCTTCTCAAGTAAAGGAGGGGAAAAGAACGCATTGAAGTTTATATACTGACAAGTCCTAGCTAATGGAGATGAGTGTTCTAAATCTCCAAGTTTCTATAAATGCTCCAAACTGAAAAATCTGGGGTAAAGAGAATGGAATCACTATGGTGAGGGAAAAACAGTCTCTAAAACTATAATCACAATCAAACACAAACAAATATTAAGGCTGTATGTAGCAGGTTCACCTGACACAGGAAATAAATAACAAGATTTAGATAAAAAGGAAAAATTAAGTCCAAATGTAACCGCCAATGACAGTAAGGCAAACTATGGTCAAGAAGAAAAATAAGATAATACAGCTCAGCAGTCTCAAAAAGCCAACAGTTCTGTAGTCCTTAAAAAAAATAAATAAATAAATAACATTTTGGCTGGGGCACCTGGGTGGCTCAGTTGGTTAAGCTTCTGTCTTCGGCTCAGGTCATGATCCTGGAATCCAGGATCAAGACCCACATCAGGCTCCCTGCTCAGCGGGAAGTCTGCTTCTCCCTCTCCCTCTGCTACTTTCTCCCTTTCCTTTCTTTCTCTGTCAAATAAATAAATAAAATCTTAAAAAAAAAATAACATTTTGGTATAGTATGGTGGTAGAGAGAGTGGACATTCATCTCAGACTGCTTTATTCTGAATCCTGGCCCCACATCTTATAAGGTACATTCTGTGCCTCCCTCTTCTAATTATTAGCCCTGTAAAGCAGAGGTAATAATATCATGTACCTTATAGGACTGAGATGAGGATTTAATAATTACTATAGGTAAAGAGCAGGAACTAGCATAGATGGTAAATGCAAAAGGTCTAACTAGACTTATCGTGGTGAACATTACATAATGTCAAATCACTGCTGTATACCTGAAACTAATAAAATATTGTGTGTCAACTGTACTTCAATTTAAAAAAAAAAAAAGCATGGGCGCCTGGGTGGCTCAGTTGGTTAGGTGTCTGCCTTCGGCTCAGGTCATGATCTTGGGGTGCTGGGATCGAGCCCCGAGTTGGGCTTCCAGCTGAGCAAGGAGCCTGCTTCTCTCTCTCCCCCTGTTGTTCCCTCTGCTTGTGCTCTCTCTCTAATAAATTTAAAAAAATAAAAATTAATTAGTTAATTAAAAAAAAGACCATGGACTAGAATAGGATTAGATGTTGAATAAATTGAATCTATTATTTTTTTCTCATTATTATAACTGGTGTGTTAAGATAAAGCAGGAGAAAATGTAAGCAATCGCAGCTACTCCAGTGAATAATACAGCCAACAACTGTATTTTTCAAAGATATAAATGTCACAAAAGACAAAAAAATATGGAAATATTCTAAATTAAGGGAGACTTAAGGGACAAAATAATTAAACAATATCTGATGCTAGTTCCTATTCTAGAGAGAAGGAAAAAAAAACCTCACAAAGGACATTTATTAGATCAACTGACAAAGTGGAATATGGATGGCAGATCAGATAAAAAATGTTATATCACTATAAATTTATCAAGTTGATAACTGCCTTGTGGTTATGTAAGAGAGTACCACTATTCTTAGGAAATATTCACTGACATATTTAGGGGTAAAGGACCATGATACATAATATATGTAACTTACCCTCATATGATTTTTAAAAAATTTTAAGTATGTATTCATGCATACACACTGACAATTTCCAAGCAGCAAAATCAGAATCATTGTTATAATTCCTATTAGTTCTATTTCCCCACCAATCTCTGTCTTTACATCTGTAGTGATCACAACAACAGATATGTTTAATGAGGACCCTGAGCCATAAAGTAAATTATACTCAACATACTATGCTTTTAACAACATGGAAACATACAGTACAAAAGAGAAAGGTTTCTATCAAAATATGTTAAAGTATAAATTTAACAGCAATCTGAAATTTTACTATCCCAAAACATTCAGTTCCCAAAGAATCCAAACAGGTGATGTTTAATATAGCTTCTATTATCTAAAGAACACTTTACACAACAGAATTTAAATTCTCATAACTTGGATCCCACAGTTCTTCCACTTATATCAAGTCCAGAACCACAATCACACAGTTAACCAGATATTTTGCCTTGAAAATCAGAGCCTGCACTGTTTCTCTTCTTTCTAGCTTCTTGAGGCAAGAATGCAAACCATTATTCTGCCCAGACTGGCTAACTTGACAATTCTGCCAAAGCTTGCCGTGGTGATTGCATTCGGTGATAATGAAACTAGAACTACATCTACTATTAAAATGGGTATCTCCTTCCAGTATCTTAGATTCTATCTCCAGAGAGGGTCAAATACTCAGTGTACCCAATTGTGATGTAGCATTTCAAGACGAAAAGGGCCAAGCAGGCAAGGGTCAAATGAAACCCTTCCCACCCGCCAAAAGAGACTAAGCTAAACAGCTAAAAACTGAAGGAGTTAAGCAGGCATTTTTTCACAGATACTAAAATGACCCCCTGACACTAAATAAAGCAAATACCATCTCTACACTTCCAGAAGTGCCATAAAATTCTAAAAACTCCCCTGCCTCTTTACTTAACATCACACATATAACAATTTTTTTATCTTGTTTCAATTCAATAAACACTTTTGTCCATTTCCTCTCCAATGAACTGAAACCTAAGAATCATTATGTAAACACTAATTCTTACCAAAAATCCAGCAGTTACAGATTATTTTCCTACTATTTTTATATCCCCAAAAGACTGTTAAAAGAGGAACAGGTTGCCACTTAGAGTCTCAAACCACTTTCCTTCAAACTCAGACTTTGAAACCTAAGTCAGATCAGTTACCTGAGGTTATCCTGGTCAAAAAGAGTGAAAATAAGTTATTTTAAGGACCTTTTCAGACCGATGCATTCAAAGCAACATCATTTTTCATTTTCCCTTGCCTTAGTGTCCACAGTTATCACAATAAAAAGATGTGGACAAAACCAATTAATCTACCATTAAGCTACACCTATTTCCCCAATCTTTATTTTACAACTGCGTATATAACTCATAAAGTTGACCAAAGATAGAGATTTATACTAACCTTAAAATTCTGATCTACGTCATCTTCATTTTCAGTTTCGTTTTCGGCTTCTAAGTCAATATCATCATTGTCATCACTTTCATCTACTACGTCATCCACTGTGACACAAAACATGCTATAAGTAGGTCAGAGGTAAGCATTCTACAACATGCACATATGAAGGAAGGATGCTATATACATACAACATTGGTATTTTAATCACCAAATGAAAAGTAAATGAAATTCCTTATTAAAAATGTCTCTAAGGCTGTCCTAAGTGTTGAAAACCTATGAGATACTAAAATTTGAAAAAGCACTGTAGAAATGTATGGGTGTTTTTACTGATGTTCTCGATTTTTAAAAACGAATGTCTTCCGTTGCAACAGCCTGAATGAAACAGCTTATTTCCTGTACATGACAAATTTCAAAAACTGACTTTATTCCTTTAACAACTGATTTCCCATTTATTTGTTTCAATGGCTACCATGTGCCACGTATGTAGTGTTGTGTGCTGGGAATTTTTAAAAATATATGTAAATATAGTCCCTGTCCTCCAGGAGCACATAAGGTTAAAGAGCAGAAAAGACTAAACAGGTAACTACAATATAAAAGTAAACATTAATGAAGGCAACGTTTGTTTGGGAAAACAAAGGATGGAATAAGTAACTAACTTGAGGTCAAGGGGCTATGAATAATCACTCCACAGAACAGGTAGTAATTAAGCAGTATCCTGAAGAAAATACAGCAGCTTTCAAGGCCAACATAAGGGTGGGTGAGTGTGGCTTTTAAGAAGAAAAAAAGAGTTGAGATGATATCCCTGAAAAACGGCAAGTGTAACTAAATTTGTATACTTGGGAAAGTACTAAAAAAGGCAAATAAGAATGAGAAAATGAAGGGACCAAGTAGTTTAGATTTTTAACCTATGCAAGACAAGCACTGAGAATTTTCAAGAAGAGAATGGCTTAATTTGACTTAACATTGTTCAAAAGATCACTCTGGCAGATGTGAGAGAGGGAGCACATATACAGAAGGGGGCCAATTAACAGGAGACAGTAACTGTCTGAACCAGTACAGCAGGAATGGGGATGAAGAATGAATATGCATTAGAGAAAAACTCAGGGAACAGAATGTAAAGGTACATGAGGACCATGGCCGTGGGGGAGACAAGGCAAGAAGGGTGGAAGAGTACTCAGGGAAGTGCACACTTTAAAACAAAGGAGAGAATATTTTAAAAGGACATTCTTCTAAACTATTTAACTCTATTGAAGAAGAAATAATATTAATTGTAATATAAAGTGTACAAATGTGATGATCTGATACAAATATACATGGTAAAATGATTACCAAGATGAAGATAATTCACACATCCATCACCTCACATAATTAACAATGTTAACTGTGATGAATGTTTAAGAGCTCCTCTTGGAAATGTCCAAATATGCAATACCCTATTATTAACCATAGTCACCATACTGTACAATAGATCCTCAGAACTTAATTTTCTTAAACTGAAAATCTGTACCCTTTGATCCCAGCACCCCATTTACCACTCCCCTCACTCCTGGCATCCAACATTCTATTCTGTTTCTACAAAATCATTTTTTTTTTGTTTGTTTGCTTTTAAAATTCTACATGTAAGTGATACCATACAGTATTTGCCTTTCTGTCTGGCATATTTCACTGCCCTCCAGGTTCATCCATGTTGCTGCAAATGGCAGGATTTCCTTTCTTTACATTATCTTAATAATATTCATATATATCACTGTCCTTTATCCATTTATCCATCAAAGGACATTACAGTTATTTATAAATTTGACTACTGTACATAATGCTACAGGGAACATGGGTGTACAGATCTCTCTTTAAGATAATGACTTCAATTCCTTTGGATATATACTCAGAAGTAGGATTGCTAGATCATATGGTAGTTCTATTTTTAATTTTTTGAGGAACCTCCACACTGTTATCCAGATTAGCTATACCATTTTACATCCCCACCAACAGTATTAAAGGGTTCCATTTTCTTCACAACCTTGCAAATAGTTCCTATGTCTTGTCTTTTTGATAACAGCCATTCTAACAGGTATGAGGTGATATCTTACTATGGTTTTGATTTCCATTTCCCTGATGATTACTGATGTTGAGCACTTTTTCATATACTACTGGCTATCTGTATGTTTTCTTTGGGAAAATATTTATTCAGGTTCTTTGCCCAATTTTTAACCGAATTACTTGCTTTTATATTCTTCAGCTGTGTGAGGTTTTTTATATATATTTTAGACAGTAGCCCATTCCCAGATACATTTTGGAAATACCTTCTCCCATCCTGTAGGGCAATAAATTGAAATTGCCGTTATAATTTATTGTTCCCTGGGCTGTGCAGAATCTCTTTAGTTTGTCATAATCCCATTTGTTTATTTCAGCTTCCACTGCTTGTGCTTTTGGGATCTTATCCAAGAAATCACTGCCAAGACCAATGTCAAAGATCATTTTCCCCAAGTTTTCTTCTAGGAGTTTTGCCATTTCAGGTCTTATAAGTTTTGATCCACTTCAAGATAATTTTTTGTTAGTGGTATAAGACAGGGATCCAATTCCATTCTTTTGTATGTGGATATCTAGCTTTCCCAATACAATTTATTGAAAACGTCCTTTCCCGCCTGTGTATTCTTAGTGCCTTTAATCAAAAATTAGCTGACCACATATGCATGGGTTTGTCTGGGCTATCTATTCCATCCCACTAGAGGTCTATGTGCCTGCTTTGAGTACCATACTGTTTTGATTACCATAGCTTTGTAATAGCTTGAAATCTAGAACTGTGATATCTAGCTTTGTTCTTCTTTCCCAGGATCACTCTGGCTACTGGGGGTCTTTTGTAGTTCCATAAAGTTTGAGGATAGTTTTTTCTATTTCTGTGAAAAAATGCTATTGCAATTTTCAAAGAGATTGCTTTAAATCTGCAGACCACTTTGGGTAATATGGGCATTTTCACAATATTAATTCTTCCAATCCAAGAACAGAGGATATCTTTCCATTTATTTGTGTCTTCTTCAATCTCTTTCATCAATGTCTTGTACAGGTCTTCCAGCTCCTTAGTAAATTTATTCCTATTTTGCTTTCAATGTACATAGGATTACTTTCAATGTTACTGTACATAGGATTACTATCTTAATTTCTCTTTCAGAGAGTTTACTATAATTGTATAGAAACACAATTGATTTTTATATATTTGATTTTATATCCTGCAACTTTACGGAACTTGTTTATTAGTTCCAAGAGTTTTTTGGTAGAGACTTTACAGTTTTGTATATATAAGACCATGCCATCTGCAAACAGATAATTTTACTTTTCCTATAGGATTTGGATGCCTTTTCTTTCTTTTTCTAGCCTAATTATTATTATAGCTAGGATATCCAGTACTGTGTTGAATAGAAATGGTGAGAGACAATATCTTTGGAAAGCTTTTAACTTTTTATCACTGAGCACAATATTAGCTACGGATTTATCATACACGGTCTTTATTATGATGAGGAACATTCCTTCTATACCCAGTTTGTTAAGAGTTTTTAATCATAAAAGGATTTTGAATTTTGTCAAATTTTTTTCCTGCATCTATCAAGATGATATGATCTTCATCCTTCATTGTCAATGTGCTTTATCACATTTTAAGTTGTGGATGGTGAAACGTCCTTGCATCCCAGAGATGAATTCCACTTGTTCATGGTATATTATCCTTCTAATTTGTTGTTAAAAATCAGTTTGCTGTTACTTTGCTATGGATTTCTGCATCTATGTTCACCAGAGATACTGGTCTGTGTAGGAGTGCTAATAACACCAACTCCATCTTTGGCCCTCCATCTTGTTCATGTCCAAGCAATGATCTCTGTCAGGGCCCAGTAATGCCCTGATCATAAAGCAGGAAGGCTTGTTCTGATCTTCCCTAAAGTGGTGCATAGATGGCACCAGTTTGGATATCGAGTAGAGAGCCTCTGGTGCACATATGGCACCACTTTAGATAACTACCCTTTGACCACACCACAAATGCCCCCTGCTCTATAAAAGCTGTGGATTAAGGTCTGGCCTGGGCGAGAACAGCTGTGTAGCAGCACCTGGATTGCCTGACCTTGTCAGTAAGTTACCCTGAAAAAAACTCTATAAATGGTATGGAAGGGCTTGGCTTGCGTAGTTTTTTGGTCTCAAAGTGCCCTCTCAGTCTGGAGGATATTTACTATTCCATTTGAGGATGCAGTTGCTTCTTCCAGTCTTTTAGGACTGATTGGCTTGGGTGGGGAAAGACTTTCACCAGAAAACAGCTGTGAACGTACAGACTGGGGGAAGATGTAGTATCTTTGCTTCCTGGAAAGGCACAGCAGCATAGTCTCCATGCAGCTCTGTCAGCAGAGGTCAATGTTAACACTGACTGTGGGGGGTTCCTCTGTGGCCAATACTATGGAGGTCTTCAAGTAGCAGTGGTACCTACGGCTAGAGGGATCTTAAGAGGCAAAAGCTGCTAGGGTCTTCTTGCTCTCCTTGAGAGAGAGAACATATGAGTCCTAGGCAGGGACCCCTTTCAGACTGTAGCCTGTTTCTCCACTCCAATGATTGGGAACTCTGCCAGCTCAGGCACCCCCGTTCTTTCTGTGACCCGATCCTGAGACCACACTGTCCCACCTAGGATTCTGCCCTGCTTTGCCACCTGAGCACCCGTCAGGCAGGGATGTCTCTCACTGGAGCAGACTTCTAAAAATTTCCATTTTGCACTCTGGTGCCATATCACTTTCTGGTAGCCAGCTTTCAGAGGCTCCCCACCCCCCTGACATTTATCTTCCAATATTTCCCCTCAGATTCACTTCTCTATACCTTCTACCTTGCAAAAAAGTGGTTGCTTTTCTATTTGTAGAATTCCAGCAATTCTTTTCTTACATCTCAGGTTGAATTCATAGGTGTTCAGAATGATTTAACAATTATCTAGCTAAATTCAAGAGACCAGATGCAACGAGGTCCCTTACTCTTCTGCCATCTTGCCTCCTAGTCAATTCTTCTCCTTTTAGTCAGAGTATTTTATCCATTTAGATATCTTATTACTAAAGCTGATTTGCTGGTCCTTGCTTTGTATTTAGCGCTCTCAGGATTTTTGTGCATCTCTGAAATTTCCTTGCTTTTCTATAACAGTAATAAATGAGCCTCTTTAAGAATTTTTCCCAGGAAAAAAAATACATAATTTATATAGAATTTAAGAGTGTTCATAGTCTTTGAAGTCCATCCATGGATTCCTATGAGTCAATAGTTCCCAAGCTAAGGATCTCTGTTTCAGAAGTACTTTTACATTTTAAAATGCATATATGAACCACTATTCCTATGATTATTTTAGAAATGCAAGAATAGTGTAATATTCCTAAGAATAGGAACTCTATCAAACATATATATAATATAAATAAAAATTTTAGTTTATTTGTGTAAAAAACCCAGTTTGTTATAACTGTGTATTATGTATCCTTGGCCAAGAGTTGGTTGATGTATTTCAAAAAATAGTGTTATAATTATTTAGTATTACATAATTAACAATTTGTACTGTTTAATACAATGATTCTGCTACCATGTTGTCTCTATTCTTGTCATCTTAATTCATCACTGGCCAGACTAGAGTAATATTTCGTGTAATTACTTCAGAAAGGGTACCTGGATAATCACTTCCAAACCCTTATATACCTAAGAATATGTCACCTTCACATATGGATGGCAACTAATAAGTGTTCAGAAATCTTGAATCAGGACTCTCCTTGAAACCTCTGTAAGATGCTGCTTCACTATCTTTTGGCATTTAATGTTCTAGAGACTAAGCCTTGAGGTCAGCTCAATTCCTTCATCAACAAATGTTAAGTGTACACTAACTGTGTCTAATAGATGCTGAGGATAAAATGAAGGAAAAAAACAACAGTTCTATCCTCGTGGAACTTACATTCTAACTGAGGAAGGTAAAAAATAATGAAAATTGTGATCAATGTAATGAAGTCTGATATATGAAAAATGGTGAACAGAAAAAGGGTATTTGCCTTGTGTCTGCACAGATGCTGTCAAAACTCTCCTCTCACATCTTAATCATGAAGACTTGTCCATCAGTGTAAATCTCCCTTTATAATTTAGTGATCCATTAGTCTGAGATGAGACAGGAAAGGAGCCCTCAAAAAATATCATCTCTGTCATTTTTTCCCCATGTTTGGTGAATTCACTGCACTAGAAGTGCTAACTAGAAGTTACTTTCTTACCTCATATGTGATTATTCTGTACACTGAATAAAGAACACTATGGGGTAAATCCTATATCCTATCTCCTCCCAGTATTACCACCTGCTATATCATACAGAAGTCTCCCCAGCTTTCTAGCAGTTACAACCACCACTTAAACCCCCATAATCCTACACTGAGATACAGGAGAGAAAAGGACTCCAACTGCTCCTTGATTGTCTGTCCAACTTAGGTGCTACTGGTACCTCAACTTGGAGACAGACGTACTGCATTCACAGAAGGGTGAGTAGAGAATTGATGCTCTTCTTTAATATAGTCATACCTCCACGATGTTTGGTGCACGTTCTATGTTTATTTCATGAGAATGTTTCTTTTACCTTGTTTTCACTTTTGGTACAGATTTTCCCCTATTTTTAAAGTCTGTTGGTAATTTTAAATGCAATGGGAAAGAGAAATTAGATCACCATTTTCACTTCACTATCTTACTCAAGTCCCATACTGAGTTGTAGACTTTTTAAACCCTTTAAAGGAAGTTTCTGAATAATCCATCTTGGTATTTTGCATAGACTAAAGGTGCACTTTAATAATAAAATACTTTTAAAAAAATCATACAGTGCACTCTGCGATATATCCCACTAATAAATCTGCATCAAAGATAATAAAACTATAATTACCTGAAAATTCTCTTACATCATAAAAAAATTTATCAACTGATGAGAAAATACTTTAGAAATTCTAATAATAGTCTAGACTACATTCCCTTTTCCATTTTACTAGATCTTACCCAAAAGAATTCTACTTTTTCCCCACATTAAGATTTCAACTCTTACTTCTTTTACTATGTTCCCAGTATTGTATTGAAATGGCAAACAGCCAACTTCTAATAATTTCATTATTTTCATTTAGGTAAGTCACATGCAAGTTTTCTTAAGCATAAACCATAACATTTTTGTTTCCTGTATTGTTAATTTTTGCTACTCTAACTGGTGTAAGGTGGTATCTCACTGTGGTTTTGATTTGTATTTCTCTGATGGCTAGTGATGTCAAACATTTTTTTCATGTGTCTGTTAGCCATTTGTATATCTTTGGAGAAGTGTCTGAACCCTCTTACACTGTTGGTGGGAATGCAAGCTGGTACAGCCACTCTGGAAAACAGTATGGAGGTTCCTCAAGACATTAAAAATAGAGCTAGCCTACAACCCAGCAATTACACTACTGTGTATTTACCCCAAAGATACAGATGTAGTGAAAAGAAGGGGCACCTGCACCCCAATGTTCATAGCAGCAATGTCCACAATATCCAAACTACCGTGGACTCTGGAAGGAGCCAAGATGCCCTTCAACAGATGAATGGATAAAGAAGATGTGATTCATGGGCGCCTGGGTGGCTCAGTTGGTTAAGCGACTGCCTTCAGCTCAGGTCATGATCCTGGAGTCCCTGGATCGAGTCCCACATCAGGCTCCCTGCTCAGTGGGGAGTCTGCTTCTCCCTCTGACCCTCCCCCCTCTCATGTGGCCTCTCTCTCTCTCTCTCATTCTCTCTCTTTCAAATGAATAAATAAATAAATCTTTAAAAAAAAAAAGATGTGGTTCATATATACAATGGAATATTACTCAGCCATCAGAAAGGATGAATACCCACCATTTGCATTGACATGGATAGAACTGGAGGGGATTATGCTAAGTGAAATAAGTCAAGCAGAGAAAGTCAATTGTCATATGGTTTCACTCACGTGTGGAACATAAAGAATAGCATGGAGGACCAAAGGGGAAGGGAGGGAAACTGAATGGGAAGAAATCAGAGCAGGAGACAAACCATGAGCAACTCTGGACTCTGGGAACCAAACTGAGGGTTACAGAAAGGAGGGGGGTGAGGGGATGGGTTAGCCCGGTGATGGGTATTAAGGAGGGCACATATGGTGATGAGCACTGGGTGTTATATGCAACTGATGAATCGCTGAACACTACATCAAAAACTAATGATGTACTATATGCTATATTGAACATAATAATAAAAAATTAAAGAAAAAGAAGAATATTGGTAGGCGTTTTTCTATTTTCACCTTCCCTTTTCCAAAGCATTATAATACTACGCATATTTATATGCAAATTCCGAATCACTAGAAAACACTTCTGTGAACCATATACACTAACACTGAACCTTTTTCTTAGGAGAACTATGAATTTACATAAGGAAACTAACCCTGATAATAGAAATTGTAAAATTTTTAAGTATTATTTAAATAGTTGAACCTGATTGCAGTAGAAAGAAATTACTCTGTTAATTTGGACCAGTATTTTTTTATGCTTCTTAAAGTACATTTTACCTTCTCTTTTCAATTTTTTATCAGTGAGTCATCTGTTAAATTCTTGAATTCTTGCCATAGAAATTTCATGGGAATATGTAGAAACTCTATGAAGAGAGATGAATTATTTTATAATAAAAAATGCAGAGGCACCTGGGTGGCACAGTCAGTTAAGCCACTGACTCCTGGTTTTGGCTTAAGTCATGATCTCAAGGTCCTAAGATTGAGCCCTGTGTCAATCTCTAGGCTCTGCACCTCCCTTCTCCAATAAATAAATAAATCTTAAAAAAAATAAAAATTAAAAAAAATAACATTTTTGGTGATTAGGTATTCTTAACTTAAACAAAAATGAAGTTCACCAAAAAGTTATAAATGTAAGCCCAAATATAACTACCTAAACATTTAATGTTTACACTCTTATCCTTTGAAAATTTATGTAAACTACGAAATAATGTTCCTATGTAATGCTTAAAGTTTTTCAAATTCAAATTTACATATATATAACACATTCCATACTACTGCCTTTAATTATCAGAACTCAATTTCTTATATTTAAAGAAATATTTAACTTAAAATATAATGTGAAAGTTTATTGTGTTCATTAAGGTCTTCTTTTGCTGTGGAACTAGAAATGAGGGGAAAAAAAAGTCGACAGTCACACAATTCCAAGAATCACTGAAAGCCAGCAGTAAACATGCAGTTTTACCTTCAGGGGGTAAACTGTAGAGCTGGGCCACAGGCCCAGTCACAGGAATAACTGGCAACTGGAAATGGAAAGAACTTTTAATCGTTGGGAGTGGCAGGCGATTTTTAGGAAAACACTTCCTCATTATCAGACTGGAGGTGTTGACAAGAGGATCAAGGGTCCTGACTGCCAAACATTCCTGTTTTTTAAGAAAAAGAAAAAAAGAAAAGTAAGAAAAAAGATAATATGCCTTTGGTGAATAAGTAAATCAATTTTACATTACTTCATAAAGTAATATATTAATAATTTTCAAGAGACAAATACACAAAAACCAGTATTTAAATGTAATATGATCATAAAATAGCTTTGCCTATTCAGAAGTATCTCTTCATAGGTAAGAACTTCATGTGACAAATTTAGTAATACTTTTCGTAAAATATTTTAACTAAGCAGAAATCAGTACCATCTTTGGCACCAAAAGTCACCCAAGTATATTAGTCCCACTTCATCCCTGGTTTCAGTTACCCATGGTCAACTGTGGTCCAGCACAGATGATCTTCCTTCTGACCTAAGGTCAATACTAACCCTAATGCTATAACACAACATACTTACATCAGTCCCCTCATTTCATCTCATCACAGAGGCATTTTATCATCTCACATCATCATCATCATAAGGATGAGTACAGTACAATAAGATATTCTGAGAGAGAAGGACCACATTCACTTAACTTTTATTACAGTATATTGTTACAGTTTTTCTGTTTTATTATTAGTTGCTCATCTCTTACTGGGCCTAATAATTCAAACTTTATCACAGGTATGTATGTATAAGGAAACACACATTGTATATATAAGGTGAAGTACTATCCAAGGTTTCAGGCATCTAAGATCCAAGGGATCTTGGACCGTATCCCCCACAGATAAGGGGGGACTACTGTGCTACATAATATCTATGAGTGACCTACAAGTCACTTAGCAAGCCTAGGGCATAAAATAAAAATTATTTTTAATTTAAGGGAAGAAAAAAACATTAAGTAAAAAAGATAGTAAGAAAGGAGTAAGAAATGGGCGCCTGGGTGGCTCAGCTGGTTAAGCGACTGCCTTCGGCTCAGGTCATGATCCTGGAGTCCCAGGATCGAGTCCTGCATTGGGCTCCCTGCTCAGCGGGGAGTCTGCTTCTCCCTCTGACCTTCCCCCCTCTCCTGCTCTCTCTCTCTCATTCTCTTTCTCAAATAAGTAAATAAAATCTTTAAAAAAAAAAAAAGGAGTAAGAAATAAAAAGGAATGTGCACTGGCTGAGCCTTTCTCAGAACTGTTATCAGTTATCATACAATAGCACCTCTAATAAGTTGACTCTTCAACTTACAAAAAATAGTCTGAACACCATGATTTTAAGTTCTAAGAGTTTAATATGCTGTCGTGGTATCCAATCTTGACAAGGGCTAATGGACAGGGGATTTGAACCTATAACATAAAACACTACTATTATTGTTATTATTATTGACAACTGGCATTTAGATAGCACTTTCATATCCCATAAAATTTTCAATACAAATTTTCACATCTGACCTGTCAGAACAGATGAGAAATTTAGGCTCAGAAATATTAAGTGGCATAAACAAGGTCACCCAACTCTTCCTGATACATCAATTATCCATCACTGTCTACATGAGGAATAGTAAAAACAAGTGCATATGATTGATCTAGAAAAGAAAAAGCTTAGGGTAAACATAAATTGTGTGTTCAGGTTTCTTAACTACTGCCATGTAGAAAGAGACTGTTGTATGCAAGACCAGGAGGGCACAACCAAGATGACTGGCTGCAATTTTTAAAAGACAGATTTCTTTCCAATAATTATAACCTTCTAAAAACAAAATGGTTGCATTGTAACATCCCCACTGCCCAGAGCTGACAGTCTTCTTGCTAAAGATACTGTCAAGAAGGTTTACGGTTAAGATGGCTGGCAGAACTAGGATTCCTAACTCCAGGTTTCACTTTTGTACCTTCTCTGTGTAAAACTGCTCTATCTAGAAGGAAGACATTGACAATACTCACAAACACAGAACTGCCTCACCAGCTATAATGGATCCATAAATATCTCATGAGGGGAACATGCAAAACTGAGTACAGCCAACTGCACATCTTAGCAAACATGGCTCTACAGATTCCCTTCCTGCCCAGTGGATGGATTTATACATCCTCCTTTTACCTAAAATCTCATATTGCAGAGATATGCACTCAGCACTTTCTCCAACACAGTCTGAGGAGGTCACGTGAGAAAGGTTTATCATGCCTTTTCATCTTCAGATTTTTTTCTTAAACATAATTATCATACTTTTTGAGTATTTATAAGAATACCAAATTTTCTTAAGAACCAAATAATATCATTAACACATAACCACAGTAATAGGAAGAAAATTTAAAAACTCACCTGTGAAGTGTTATACAGAATTTTCATCCCATTGGCGTCTATAAATGCTTTTCTTCCCAACTTGATGTTTGTAACACTTTTTAAACTCTGTAAAATTCCTTTCCGAATGAGCATGTTTCTATGCCGGTTATCATGGCGGTGCCAATCTACATAAATCGTTAAAAGGACTTGGACATATCCTCTGTCTACAGCTCTTCTGGCGTTTGTTTCTTTAACAAAAGAAAATTGAGAAAGAACATTTTTAAATGACAAGAGAAAATGGTAGAATAAATTGAATTAAAAATATCACAATATTGTAATAAGTTTTTTTTTCAAAAAAATATACATAGCAGCCACATACTTAAATATTTTTTTCTCTAACAAAATAAATGAAAAGTCCCAGATGGCAAACTACATTGTTATTATTGTAACGTCTATTATAAACCCTGTTTCCACTGAAATTAACTCTACTGGATTGTAGCTTCTATTACAAACTATGTGTTTCCACTGAAATCACCTGCTTTAATTACCCCCACAATTATATAAATATCCATGCCATAACAACACTAAGTTAAGAATACTTATAAAACTTTTAGTAAATGAAATGTGAAGAGCACTTTACTGCTTTCTGGTCATTAATTATCTAATATAATAAAAACTACATTAAAGAGGGTTTTTTTGTAAATGGTTGATTTTACTAGGGTAGAATTAACAGAAATCCACAAATTTGATCTATTTTATTAAAGTGTTAATATTTTAGATTATTAACCGAAAGGGTACATTTCACTAAAATGGCACTAGGGGAACCCTATCATAGCAACATCTGGAGCCACTCAGTACCACATAGGGGAGCCAATGATAGGAACACAAACTAATGTCGAATACCAACCCATCCAAGCTTGTTTAGTTACAAAGAAATTCCAATCTCTCCCTAATATAAGTTTACCCTGGCTCACTGGCATAGGCACTAAGATAATGTAACAGTAAGGTAAGGCTCTGCTGCTTTTAGTTACCTGAAAGGATTACTACAGCTTCCATATTGCTAATATGTACCTAAAACATAAAGATGTTGAGGTCAACAAACTATTAATGCTCTCTCAGAAACCCTGTTCTGACTTTAGGGAGCTGGAAGAAATTCACCTGGTGGGGAGAGGGGCTTTCTTACATAAACGCTTTAAAACCTCTTCTGTGTCTTCAAGAGCTAGTTGGCCAAGGTTGTGGCTATTTACACAATCAGGTCAACAGTTTTGACTACAGTAGTTTCATGTATTTTAAAGGAATATACACTTTGTTTACACCACCTGGAGTATATAAGCCTTTAGTTTACTAGCTGTGAATATGATTTTCTTAAAAGACATTATGAGCCTAAATGGTATTTATGTGAAATATTTAAATTCTTATTAAAAATCAAATAAGAAACTTGCCCGTAACTCAAACACAGGTGCTGAATGAAGAGAAGTAAACAGAGCTATGTGCAATCTGCAACTGAGCACAACTAAAAAGTTTAGTAAAGGGGTTTTATTCATGTGTTCAGGACACCTAACCCACTATCAACCTATGTCTCTTCTTCCCTCTCCAGTTAAAAGATAACTCAGGTTCCCCTTTAGACTGCAGCATCTCATCCATACTCTAGCGATGGCACCTAGGCTGCCTGTCCTTCTGCACTGTATGTATACATGTTCTTTGCTTTATACTAGCTCAGGGTTATTATAGTAGCCTCATTTACCCTTTTATTTTTTTTCTCTCATTTACCCTTTCAAAGTAAATAACTGCCCCCTCCCAGAAAGCAGTTAAAAAAAAAAAATCAATGAATGAGAATGTTCCAAAATGCCACAGTGCATTTAAAAATATGCAGGTGCTACTAAACATTATCTTGCATTATTAAATTTTTTTTCTATTTAGTGCCATGTGCCCTATGAAAACATACCAAATATAAACTAGACTCATCCTACTGGTCAGTTACTTTTTTTACCTGATGCAGTAAAACAGGTATGTTTGTCCACCACCCTCCTTTGAAGGAGGAGGGAGTAAAAGGAAGATTACTATTTAAAACGCAAGATACCAGATTTCAGTCCTCTTAGATTAACCAATTTCTATAAATAGTTGAAACTAAGGAGGGTTTTAGTTTCTACTGACTTAGAATCAGTGATTTTGTCATCAGTGATTCTGAAAATAAATAAGCTTCAGTCTTAATAGCTATTTTAATCTACTCTAATTCAAAAATATATGCCTATATGAATTTAAAAATTAATCTTTAAATAACAATTTGAACCACAAAGGGCACAACAAAGCCAGGCCACAAACATCTTTTAAAATTAATCCAAGTATTCTGATCTTGGTCTAAAGTTTATCACATCATATATGAAAATAAAGCTACATGGTTCATCTAATTGAGTACCACACACTTCATTTCAAAGATAAAACTGTTAACTGAGTTTTATATACTCTGGTATATAATACTAATACCTAAGATGACTTTTTAAATTTAATAAATGTAACAAATCATTACCAAATACCAGATTTTCAATCAATTAATCATTTGCTACTGTTCAAATTAACAATTCTGGTCATTCAAATTTAAGGGCAAGTTGGTCTCACCCTTGATAGACAGTTTTGGGGAAAAATAACATTGAAAGCCATCATAACCTTAGAACTAAATGTTACTGTGGTTAAGACGTTAATTTAATCAACCAATGAGAATGGAAGTGCTAACAAAAGTTATATTTAAACCACAGATACTGAGTACCTTGGAGAGAGAGAACATATAATGTAGATAAATTTCTCTCCAAAGTAATCATAAGACACATTTACTCTAATGCTTCAATTTTGAAGATAAAGAAAACAGTTGCTTTAGTTTGTAAATTTACATTAATTGTCATTTTTAATGATTTAAACTTGAATTTGATAGAAATAAAATTTTTAATAAGAGGTTTCTAAATGAAAATCATTTGTGTTCAATATACAGTAGTTGTTCACAATATTCTTCACAGTAAATATCCTCAATATCTTGTTAGCTTCACTTTTAAAAAGATGATACTTATATAACACTTACATGTTACTTGCCTCTATTAACAGGACTTTATATTTATATAATGAACTTATAAAAAGAGAGTCAATGTACTGGAATGAATTACATAGATGTACTTAAATTATAGCTCAATAAACGACATTAGCTATGATCAACCATATGAAAAGACAATCAACTTTGACATTAAATTATAACAAACTAGCTTTATAACTACAGACTAAATCTACATTTCCAGTTTCTTTAACACAGTAGATAGAATACTTGGAAAAATAGTATCTAGTATTTCTAGTATTTAAAAACTTACTTGATTTTAGCAATGCAGCAAGAGTGTCTAAAGCAACCCTGTCAACATGAGAAAACACAAACAACAACAAAACTAGTAAAATTAATCTACAATAGTAAATTCATACAATCTTTTCAGATAAGTAATTATTATCTATTCCAAAAGTCATTCCTGTTATAGTCAATTACATATGGTGTTTCTCTGTATGCATCTCTCCCTTCAGGTTAAAATCAGGTATGAGGAAGATTGAAATATTAACAGGCCAAGCACCAAAAAAAATTTTTTAAGGAAGAAAAAGAAGACACTGTTGAAGTCTTTATATAGGAGATTAGATATATAGAATCGATTATTGTAGTTGTATCTGACCCTGACAGAGTTCACAAAATAACAGTATTAAGAATCAGAGGCCCTGATTCATAAAAAATTAAAACAAAAACAAGTTTTAAGACAAAATTTGTAACTACAAAATTCTATAGATACTCATAGCTATCTGACTTTAAAGTATTTTAGCTCTTTCAAGCAATAATCCTACTATTTAAGGTGATAACAAATGTAAAATATTTTGGAACTAGGAGGTTTGGGGAGAAGTAGAAGCCCTTAACATTTTTCAACCATAAGGCACCAAAGAGAATAATGAACCTAATTAATATCTCAAAAATTCTTATTGCCCATTAAAGGACAAAGGAATTGCCCCAAAATTTAAAAGTACTTATATTTTCTTTGAACATAAATATACAAATATGCACAGTGAAATTAACTGCTATTAATTAGCTTTAAAAATGCACAAAACATCACTGTGGAAAACCTATAATTGAAATATTTTTTAAAGAAATAAGTTACTGAAGAAATGGCACCTAATTTCAGTAACTTTAAAAACATAAGGCTACATACTACAGTACCTCTTAGCAAGATTTCAACAACTATAATTAATTTGCATAAAAATATGCACTATGACTTAAGCATGTCACTCATCATTAAGCATTTGTTGAATGCCTACTAGACACCCACACGGGCAGGTTCTTCATTGGTATAAAATTAGCACACTTATCTCTTCCACAATTTTACAATCTAGATAATGTGATAAAATGTACATATCTATGAAAAAACTACTCAAGAAATTAAAACCAAAAACAAAGCAGTAAAGTAAAAGTTGCATACGTTAATGTGAAGGAGACCCAGCACGATGGAGTATGTAAAGGCAAAGAGCACAATCAACTAGAAGACTGAAGATGGATACTGGTTCACAGTAAAACCTGCAACAATTATCTAGAACTAGGCACAGAGTAAGTGCTCATTCATAATAAATGCTCATTAATGCTACCCTCCAGAGCAAGTCATTAATGGTTGCACTTTGATTTACTAACACAAATAAAGCAATCATATAAACCTTTATTTAAGATAACATTCATAAAAAGAAAAAAGTATATGCTTTAAAAAATATTATAAATTCAGACCTGGAACTTTCTCAAAACAATGTGAAGTTTTGGTAATGGTGAGTTAAAAGTAAATAAAAACTATGAAATTACATACTGACTTTTCATAGCACTAAATCATCAGTAAGAAACTTTCCATAACCTTACAATTATGTACTAAAATGCGCATAAGACTATGCAATTACCAGCATAAGGATGGCTCTGAAATTGGTCAAAATTAAACACAGAACTAAAGGGATCTTCCGAGTGAAACAGCAATACAAAATAATAGAAAAGAAGCAAAATTTCCAGAAATTGTTATAGATGCCTTATATATGTGTTTTCTAGTTTATTTTTTTATAAAGATTTTTATTTATTTGTCAGAGAGAGAAAGAAACAGAGAGAGAGCACAAGCAGGAGGAGTGGCAAGCAGAGGGAGAAGGAGGCTCCCCGCTGTGCAGGGAGCCCGATGCAGGACTCGATCCCAGGACCCTGGGATCATGACCTGAGCTGAAGGCAGACGCTTAACTGACTGAGCCACCCAGACATCCCTGTGTTTTCTAGTTTAATTCTTAAAACAATCCTGGTCCACAGAACTGGCACATTTTATGGCTAAAGAAACCAAAGATTTCAGAATATAATAAATATGCCTAAGCTCCCAAAAAAGCGAGATGCTATGGAAAATGAGTAATATAAGCCTCCTGTTGAGAAGGAAGCTTTTGAATTCAGAAATACCAGTCTCCTCCAAAAGAGATGTTGAAGTCCTAACCCCCCAGTACCTCTGAATGTGACCTTATTTGGAAAGACGGTCACTGCAGATGTAATTAATTAAAATGAGGTCATACTGGAGTAGGTGGCCCTTAATCCATCATGACTGGTGCCCTAAGAAAAAAGGAGACTACCTGAAGACAGACACACAAGGAGAGAACCTCATGCGAGGACAGAGGCAGAGGTTGAAATGTTGCAGCTTCAAGCCAAGAAACACCAAAGATTGCCAGCAAACCACCAGCTAGAAAGAAGCAAGGAAGGATTCTCCATAAAGGTTTCAGAGGGAACACTGGACCTACTGACAGGTTAATTTTGGACCTCTAGCCTCCAGAACTGTGAAACAACAAATTTCTGTAATTTTAAGCCACCAAATTTGTACTAGGTACTTTGTTACGATACCCCTAGGAAGAAAATACAATCACTCGGATGCAATCACTTGCTATGAACTAATAGGATTTTCCCATCTACAGTTAAGCCTTTATTCAAAATTATAAAAATCTTAGAGTACTTTTAGAAACAGTCTTTCTCCCTGGTTGGTAGTAGTTTATAATACATTTGAACCAAATAAAAGTGCTTCTGACAGTTTCTAATCCTTAAACTACATGCTTTTGGGTTGATGTTTATTCTTCAACACCGGCAAAACTAGGATGTGAACCCAGTTTTTTCTGACTCCAAAACTCATCATGCTTGTTTCACAGCTGCACTAGATTAAAAGAAATTATGAAGGGGTGCCTGGGTGGCTCAGTCAGCTGGGTATCTGCCTTCGGCTCGGGTTGTGATCCCAGGGTGCTGGGATCGAGCCCCGCGTCGGGCTCCCTGCTTGGCAGGCAGCCTGTTTCTCCCTCTCTCTCTGCCTACAGCTCCCCATGCTTGTGCTCACTCGCGCTCTCTCTCTCTGTCAAATAGATAAATAAAATCTTAAAAAAAAGAAAAGAAAAGAAATTATGACGTTTGGTGCAAAGTCACTTGATATTTTCACTAAAATTTATTTAAAAGGTATTTTTTAAAAACTTAAGTACAAAAAAATTTCTGAAATTCTCTGACATGTATAAGCCAGTACAAATTTGTAAAAGTTACCAAAGAATTTTAGAATAACAAATTTATCAAAATGCACAGTCTGTATTATGTTAATTGAATAGAATTTTTTAGTTTCACTATTTTATACTTCCTCACATATTTTTCCAATCTTCTTAAGTCCCACACAGAATAATACAACCAACAATGGCTTAAAAAGCATCCTGTGGCTTATTCATTTAGGAGCAGTGAAGGAAGAAAAGCTTCAGCTCCAGGTACTCATGAAGTCATAGCTCCTTTAAATTGGAGGGTCAATCCTTATGGGGACATTCAAGAAGAACCCATTATGTCCTGGGTTGCCTCCATCTGGATTAACAGTATTTAAATCCAAAACCTAAAATTGGAAAGGAAAGGAAATCTTCAAGGGCAGCATCACCCTTCAAACATAAATAATAACCCTAACCTTATTCCACTAAACATAGGGCATTGTTTCAGAGGAGGAAAAACAGCAAAACAAATGTTTTAGATGTCAAGACTTTTTAATTAAGGGGGAGACCCTAAGATTATTAAAAATGATAAAGAGATCAAGATATAGATATTTGGTCAATGAATATTTTATTCTTATTAAAGTAAAAACAAAGTAAAAAATTTGTTTTTCTTTTTTAAATATAAATACAGGAAGGAATTTAAGGGATAATTTAGATAGCACTATTCCTTTCTGAGTTTAGACCCACTGATTTCTGCCTATTTTGGATATATCCCCGTACTGTATATTATAATGACACTTGTGAAATGCTCTGTTCCTCCCAGGAACTTTATACTAGATTTGGTAACTGGTTAGAATAGGCTTAATATAGACCCTAAGAATGAGATCATAACCACTAAATAAAAAATAAATTATAAAGTACTTTATGAGTCAAGGGGAGAATTGGTATATAAATTTTAAAAATAATGAACATACTTTTAGTACTAACTAGAATTAATTCACAGCCACATTACTACATTACTTACCTAAACTAATTACATTGCATTCATAGGCATTATGTTAATTAGAAGAATCATCTCATTAAATCCTCACATCAACCTTCTGATGTAGGGGCTAATACTACTATTTATAGATATGAAACAATGGCTTAAGTTAGGTAACCTACTATGTATCCTGGAGCCAGTAAATGACAGAGCTAACATGCAAATCCAGGTCTCTCTGTCTCCAGAGCCTACTCACGACACTACACCAATCTGTAAGTCGGTTTTACTTGTGATAATCGCTTTTTGTTTTGTTACATTTCATCAGATGTTCTAGGATTATGTATGATCTTTACATAAGTAAAAAGTTAAGACATCCCACCAAGTAATATTAAATGAATAAATATATATGCAAGTAAGCTCCCATTTTCAAAAGGGATACAAGCTAAAATATTTGACTTTTTTTTTCACCCTGATCTTTATTTCAAGAAGAGTGAAAAGAATGGAAATGTTCTGAATTTATTTGTAAAATTTAACCAAATATTTGATGTGGGTAAGTTCTTCCTCACAAAAGAGTCACAACTAATAAAAGTAGAAAGAATGAGAAAATTAGAAAAGCCACTATTCTGCAACTCCTAAAGAAATAGTGGATCTAGACAATGTCACGAAACACTGCTAAATTATTAGGTGAGAAGTGAAGGGATCACCTCAACTCAGTGATCTTAAGTGGTGCAAGAGAGAGTACCAGCACCACATATGAAATATTTTTGACCAGAAAAAAGGAACCCAAATCCAATCAAGCCTCCAGCTCTATGGGTCTACAGGAAATTCGAGGGACATACCTACATGTTAAAGGATCCCAGGATACAGTCATCTTAATCCAGAATGTTGGGACAATCTACAAGACATCACCGAAGTCTTTCAACAAATAAATAAAATAGAACCCCAAAATAGAGGAACTGTTATTGATTTTTAAAGATTACAAGACATAGCAATCAAATAAAATGTACAGACCTTATCTGGATTCTGACTGGAACAAGCCAACTGTAAAGAAGACATTTCTTAGACAATCAGAAAATATTAGATATTAAGGGATTATTAATATTGTTGGACAAAGAAACAATATTCTGCAAACATTAAAAGAAAAAAGTTGTGTCTGATAGTGATCATACTAAAGAACTCACAGAACAAATGTAATGGCCAATATTTGCTTCAAAATACTCCAGAAAAAAAAAAGAAAGGACAGGGAAGGAAAAACTGAGATCAAAATGGCACAATGTTGGTTACTGATGAAACTGGGTGGTGGGTATTATCCGTTCTCTTGTAGTTTTGTGTAGGTCTGTAATTATTCTATTTTTTTTTAAGATTTTATTTATTGATTTGTCAGAGAGAGAGCACAAACAGGGGGAGCAGCAGACAGAGGAGGCAGAGAAGCAGACACCCTGCTGAGCAGGGAGCCCACCGTGGGACTCGATCCCAGGACCCTGGGATCATGACCTGAGCCAAAGGCAGCCACTTAACCGACTGAGCCACCCAGGCATCCCTATTCTATTTTTGTGTAGGTTTGGAAATTTTCTAAATGTGATGAGGAATAATGTGTGCACCTTGTTTGGATTCTGATTCAAACAAACCCATTATACAAGGGCACTCTGAGACAACAGGAGAAAATTGAACACATACTGGACTTTAGTTATGTTAAGGAATTAATAATTTGGTTGAGTATGATTTTAGTATTATGGTTATTTTTTAAGTTGCTATTTAGTAGAGTTATATACTGAAGTATTCAGGGAAAAAATAAAATATATTCGGATTTTTTTTTCACAAACTTATATATGAGAATGACATCTGGGATTTGCTTAAAAATACCTGAGCAAAAATAAAAGTATAGAGGGGAAATAAATGAAACAAAAGTAGCAGAATGTTAATAACTACTGAATCAAATAAGTGATTAATAAACCTAATTCAAAATAATTTCATCCTAATATAATATAAACTCTAGGTATCTTTGAATAATTGCACAAAATATTTTTTTAAAGAATGACTTCTAATATGCCTTAAGAAAAAAATACTAAATATAACCAAATAACTGGAAATTGCTTTAATTTTCTGAGGCTGAAAGACTTACAAATGAATAGATATATATATAGTAATATATATATAATTTAAAATAAGAAAAAAGAAAAAGAATGACATTATTTTGACAAAAAAGAAATGTATAAATTTAAAATACATTCAGATAATTGTGCGAATGAAGGGTACATTCATTAAAAGATTGCAAACCTGGGTAGGGAATATAGCAGGCATTCAATAAATGTTTCTGAATGAATGCTACTCTATCAATGATCATTTTCCTCTTATATTATCTAGGAATGTTGGACATCTAAATTTCCATAACACTACAGTCAATGAATGTAAAGCTTTCTAATTTTGATACACCTCTGAAGATTAAACTTTATATTGAAGAAAATCTTTATCATAATAAAATCACTATTTAAGAACTAAGAAAGGACCCTAGATATAATACAATTCAACCTGTTGTTGCACAGATTAAGATGATAAAGCCCAGAATAACAAAAAATACACCTCTATTTATACTCAAAGCATTTACTCACTTCATGAGACCCGAATTCTTCTTACTAAATGGTCCGATGATTTTAAACAGCAGCTCCACAACTCCATTTTTCCCTAAGGATACTGAATTCACAGCTAGGAGGCAGAGGAAAGGATGTAAAATGATTTTAAAACCTCAACAAGTAGAAATGTGTATTCTTGGTGATACAGAGCTGAAAACATACACAAATTCTTTAGAAGACCCAAGCCCCTCATAAAGCCTACCCTAGCCAATCACTTGAAAGGACGATTGTTTTGGGGGGGGGGGTTTGGCTTTATTTATGACCTTGCAGGGAGATTATGAAAGAAGTTATATAAAACAACAAAATGTTACTTAAAAAAAAAAAGAGTTTTAAGTTAACTCTGTTTGTTTCTTCAATAATTTAAATACCAGGTCATGGAGATTCAAAGACAAAAACAGTGTGGGCCCTCAGAGAACGCAGTATAGAGAGTGACAAAAACAATAAACAAATAATTACTAAATTACTTTCTAAATAGATTAAGACTTGCAGGCTATTTAGGTTACACCAGAATGGAGTCCCAAGTCCATAATGAAACTGAAGGTATCTCTGGAGAAACTGAGCCTGGGTTCACTCTTTACCAATGAAGAGGAGCTAGCTAGGGCAGGAGCTGCTCTAAGGAAATGTCTCCAGAGACAGAGATAACATGGCAAACCGAACCGAGTCAGTGAACATCATGGGTATAAAGTTACACATTAAAACATACAGTATCAGACAAAAGCTTATCAATGGAAAGATGAGGTGGGAAAAGAAGGTAAACAAATTATAGAGCCCTAGAAGTTGTTTGTTCTTTCAACTACAGGGAATTGCCCGAAAGGAACAACCAATCAGACATGCATTTTAATACAAGTCAGATGTCACAGCACTGTGACAGATTTGAGAGACATGGTAGCAGGCTGTGGTCCAGGTGGGAGGTGATGAGGACCTTGGCTAAAGCAGCTGTGGAGAAAGAGGTAACAACTGTAGAGTTTCACACAGAATATGCAAACAATTACCCAACCAGGAAATTGTGCCTAATAATTTTCAATTCTGAACAAATATATTTTAAAAATCATAAACAATTTACTAGCCTTCTAGTGGTAAATTCAGTAAGATGCCACCAAAAATGTAAGCTAAAGTCTTGTAGGATTTTAATTTCCTCTGTATCTATTTTTCCATTATCCCTTCTAATTTTATCTCTGTGCAGTCTTCCTTTTTCCTTAATTGGGGAATTCAATGGTTTATCTGTTTTATTTAGTTTTTAATTTTATTTGAGTATAGTTGACACACAATGTTACATTAGTTTCAGGTGTGCAACTTAGTAGTTTGACAAGTTTATACATTATGCTATGTTCACCACAAACATAGCTACCATCTGTCCCATTACATCACCATTACAGTATTATTTTATTTTTAATCCAATCATTTCATTTCTTAAATCAACTGGGGCTTTTTTCTAATGTATTCTTTTTTCCTCTACATTCCTCTGCTTTCCTTGTGTTTATTCCTCCTTTCCTAACTTCTTTGGTTAGATATCCAATTTATTCATTTCCTTCTATTCTTTTTAATTACATAAGTGTTAATTATTTAAGTGGTCAAAGCTATTTTCCTATGAGCTCACCTTTAGCCATACTGTCAAAGTATAAATACAGATAAATAATCATATACATACATAAAATTTTATACATACACACGCACACACATATATATATAACCCCACATCTCTACCACTTTGAATACCATTATTCTGCAATATCATGTACTCCCCACAACTTCAATTTCAGATGTCTTGTTAACCACTCCAATCCCATAGTGGAAATAGAAAGGAACTTCACAGCACCTAGGTTTGGGACCTAGTATTAGAGAGTATATATGTGTGTGAGGAAACAATTTCTCCGTGATCTCTCTTCTCTCCAGCTTCCTCAGAGGCTGTTGTACTATTTTTTTTTTCTGTTCTGCTACTTCCTATCGATTGCTGAACATAATTAACTCCAGGTGACTATGCTTCCACATGCCTTCCTTCTCAGCTTTCCTCTCACCTGTGAAAATCCAAATAGGCGCAGCAGTTTTTCCTGCTGATACCCTCCTGTTCTTCCACATCTTTCCACGGGCTGTTACTCATCCCCTTCACTACAAGCTTTTACAAACTGCAGGAAATGAGAATTCTCAAGATTTTATCAATTCACCTTCTTACCCCACATCACTTTTGTGGTGGTGGGGTTAGGAGTTACAAAGAGTCATATTACATATTCTCTTTTCTTGTCAACAATTTTTAGAGCTCTATGGAGTTCAGGTACTTTTACATTTTCATTTTGTATAACCTGACAACACTGAGTTAACTGAAAGGTGCTCTAAAATACTTACAGTTGGCAGAATATACTCGTAAAAGCTGAAGACAAGGCAAAACCAAGCGATGATTCTGCAAATTCTGTTTGACCAAATTCAGGGTTATATTCAGAGCTCCATTAATTCTAGCTTTCACTCCAAATTTTTTGTCTGTTTTAAAAAAATGAACACAATTTATTCATGTATAACTTTTGAATGAAAATGGAAATGTCATAAACTATATACACACATACACACTTTTTAGAATAAGCATTTTAACCAAATACTTCAAAGTTTAAAAGCTCATATGTATGCCACAAAGCAATGGCAGAACTCTTAAATAAACACTATTCTAAGAGTTTAGAGAATCATTTTAATCTGTGTAGCTAGACAATTATAAACTGAACTTGGGTTCTATTCCCAGGATGCCTTTCTCTGTTAACCTAATCTAAATCAGCTTTCTCCTTGTTTCAAATCCCATGTTTTCTTGATCTGTATTTTTTAACATTTTGCATGTCTTACTTTTGTAATAATCGGTCCTACAATTTTTTATATCTCTTTTGGTCTTGACTAGATCATAAGCTTTTTAAGCATTGAGACTGTGCAATACAAATATGACTATTAATGAAAAGCAAACACATTTTACCTCCATGTTCCTCAAAGCATTCCCATCCATATTCCCTCCTTCCAACTTCAACAATATATATCCTTTACACACACACACACATGCAAGCACACAAACAGTGACACACTTGTGATTCTGATATTTTTCTTCCTTTTTTCCAGTCTATGTAACAGAATTCCTCATAAATTTAGTATCCTCAACTTTGCAGGCCACTAGCTGACTGTAAAAAGGAGTCCATGACTAAGATCAAGAAAAAGCAGTACCACGTTAGATTTTCAAAATTTACCAAATTTCAAGGCAAACAGAATCAATGTCACAAATAGTTCTAAGATAAAAACACAAGTGGAGCCCTCACCTTTAGGTCCAATCTTTGCAAGAATAGAATGAATCTGTACCATCAACTCCTCATTCGGGGGAGATTCTTTGCTGGCATTCATAAGTAGCTGCAACAGTATCTGTGAACCACCTTTGGTGACCAAGAAACTTGCTCTTCGACCTCCACCTAAAAAAAAAAAATTGTTTTTAATTGTTTAAACAGCAAATCCTCCCATAAAATATTAGACATCACAACTTGTTAGCATTCAATATTTCAAATGATGACTTCTGAAATCAAACACCTCAAAATCAATTTTTTTTTATTTCATTAGTACTTTAGTTAGAAAATAGCAAAGAGGATAAACACAAGTGATGCCAAAATTCTACATTCAAGGCTCTGAAAATGGGTTTTGGGGTGGTTTGAGGGATCCTGGAAGACCCCTCAAATCAAAAACAAAGCAACAATAAGAGTATGACATTTCAGTTTCCAAATTCTGATACTCAGAATAGCTTCTATAGAAGTATCAGAAAATTCCAAATAAAGTACACATGATACATTGTTGATCACTGTTTACAAACGGAAATTAGACCAAAGAAAACAAAAACTTACCAGCTGACACCAGCTCAACAAGAATGCTTAAGATATTAAGTGTAGTTTGAAGATCTTTCGTGTTCTGAAATAAATAGTTTATTTGCTGTATTAAACCATTGTAAATCTGTGATTCCCAAACCTTTTCTGTTCCTGCTGTGAACTACCTGTATTTTTACAAATGGCCCTTCCAATTTCCCTAAGGACAAATGTATCTGGGCTGGCACTATTCTCACTTACCACTTCAGTAGTTTCTTCTTGCCCTTGAAAATGTTTTGCAAGTCATCTGAGCTATTGTTTTCTTAGTATCAACACTATTACAAGAGGAATTAATTTGTCATTTGAATTTATCATCTTCTACCCAATAGATAACCCAAATAAATGAATCAAAATGTAAAAAGCACTACAATGTATATATGGTGACCACCCAGTCACCTAGCTCCCCTCTCAGAAGCCAACTGCATTATCAGTTGGTTGTGTATCCAGCCAAAGATAATGTGCACACATGAAAGAAATCCATGTAAATATATGTGCATATACAGATTTATTTCTCCAAATGGTAGTGCCCTATGGATACTATTTTATATTGACATTTTTATGTATCAATAAATAATTTCTTCACCCTTTTTTAAGGGCTACCATATGGATTCTATCCATCATATGGCTATGCCATTGTTTATGAAACCAGTCACCTACCAATGGAATATTTGTTTTAATCTTTTGCTACTAAAAAACTGCAACAAGAAATTAACATGTTTATACAGAATCAAGTACGTCTCCATATGGGATAAATTCCTAGAATTTCTGGGTCAAAGAATATGGGCATTTACTAAATTGTTCATGGAGTAATTTACACTCCCACCAACAATGTAGAAGAGTAACTATTTCCCAAAGTCTCGATAACCAATCTAGTAAGAGAAAATGTTTAAACACTGTACTTTGGTTACATCTCTCTTATTAAAAGCAATGCCTGGATAAAGAAAACCACAGAGAAGCAGAATTATGGCCTATTTAAGGAACTGCCTCACCCCCAAAGTATAGGAATTTTAAATGTTTATACAGAGGAATTTGAGAATTGTTATGTATCGGTAAACTGGCATGGGACCCTTATTCTTCCCCTTTCCAAAAGGGAGTTAGTGTTGTCTCCACTTCACCATTTTAGCTTATAGATTAATGGAGCCAAAAAGCCATATCCAGACCAGTTAGAGGATTACACATTAACCAGAAACCCTTGTCTCAGCATTGGAGGTATTCCACTTATTGGACCATCAACTCACTAGAGAGGAATTTGGAAGAATGAGAGGGACAGACATGTGTTAAAGAGAAGAGTGAACTGTGGCAGAATACTGCTTGTGTCTGGCAAACAGGTCTCATCTTCTTCCTGGGTACACAGCCAAACCACATTTTCCAGCCCTTTTGTAATTAGGTTTGGGCCATATGACTGAGCTCAGGCCATTGGAACCTGAATGGAAGCTGCACTGTTATCTCTAGGCCTTACCCAGACAAGTCTCCCATACATAATTCACTACCTCCCACCCCTGCTGACCTCAATAAATTGTGATAAAGCAAACAAACGAATGGTGTTCAATCTCAAGTGCCATTTGCATTTCTTTCCCTGGGAACTGTCCATAATGTCTACACATTTAAATCAATGTCTATTGATTTAATTTTTCCTTACTGATTTGTAAAAGTTCTTTATATGTTAAAGAAATTATACAAGTTGAAACATTTTTTCCTCAGTTTGCCAAGTGTCTATGGTGTTTTTTTTCCCACGCGCTTTAGTTAATATAATTGAATTTATCAATCTTTTCTCTTTTATAGCTTCTGGGTCTTTGTTCATATTAGAACACCCTTCCCTGTTTTAAGATTATTTAAAAATTTCTATTACTTCCTCTAGTATTATGATTTTATTTTCCATGCTTAAATCTTTGCTATAGATACAGAATTTACTTCGGTGTAGAAGTAAGGATCCACTATTCTTTTCTAAGTGGCTACCAATCTGTCCCAGCTCCACTTAATAAATAATCACTCCAGTTTTCACTGATCTGAAATGCTACCTTTCTTAAGTGGTTTTAAATTGCCATATGATTTTAATTTATTTTTGGACTTTCCATTCTGCTACAATGATGCTATATTGATGTCTATTACTAAGGCACAATTTCTAAACTATTTAAATTACTAAAGTTTTATATAATGTTCTCTGGTATTTGGTGCAGCTAGTCCTTTCTCTTTTCTTTTTCAGAAACATCCTTTCTACTCTTATTTTCTCATTGAACTTTAGAAACAAAACTGTTGGTATTTTTACTGAGATTACTTTAAACTGACAGATTTAGGGAAAAATGACATCTTGTATCATTTTTAATAGGAAGTAATTCCTATCAAAAATATGAATTAACGCCCTGTTCTTTTTTTTTCCAGTTCTATTGAGATATAGTTTGACTTATAATACTATGTAAGTTTAAGGTATACAACAAACTCACTTCCTGTTCTTAACACAGCACTGAATAAAATTTAAAATCCTGATTCTGAATATATCCTGCTGATCCACCCAGAAATTTCACACTGGGATAGAAATTTAACTGTTACCAACATAATATAGTTATTCAACCAATATATGTAGTAAACTGAATCACAAACATATATCATCTAAAACAATACAATAAATGAGAATTTCCAATATCAATCATTTATTTTAAAGATTTATTTCCAGCTAATGCTTTATTTTGTATTACCAATTAGAATGGCACGTTAAAATTTAAAATATGGTTATCATTACAATCATAGGGAAATATACTTAGAGGTTTACCTAATATATATTAGAATGTTTCTGTCACCATCCCAAGTGATAATTTAAAACATAAAACTAACTTCCATTCATTAGCTTTACCTCTAGGATAAAAATTTTATACTTCATATATACATTTTTTTCTTCTACTAGATGGTATTACAGTTACAAAATTAAAGCCTGCCAGTGATTTACCTCTAGGGTTGACAGCAGAACTTCCATTCCTGTAGAACCTTTGGCTGTCATTTCTCTCCTTGTTTTTTCTGAAAGGTATAAAAAAGTTTTCTTCTAAAACAAGAAAAAATTACATATAGCTTAATTCTATAGCTAATGTAGAATCAACATGACTCCATTGGTCTAGCAAACATTCTAAATTGGTTTTTAGATGTTCCTCCCTCTGATGTTGCTAATTCTACTGGGTGGGAACTTCCAGATCTCAGTTTACAAGCCCTTCCTTGCATTTAATCACATCTCATATCATGAACTAGATGGATCCCTGTCAATCCATCTATAATCTTAAAATCAGCAATACAGTATGAGTACCAGAACTAGTGGTGAGGTAGGAGGTGGTAATGGCAGGCCTCTTTATTATCTTTACAACTAAAACTAGAAAATATTTCATCAAAATTGGTGAAAACAAAAACCTAGTACTATTTTCAAATGTTTTTACTGAATTAATACTATTTTAAAATTCTGAATTACACAAAAATAAAAACTAAGGAACAAACAAAACTTGCTTCTTCTGCCAAGAATCTGTAGACCAGATCACCCAGATAAGCCCTTTCATCTGAGATGGGGTGGGGAGAAACTATAAATTTTTCTACTATTTTTTTTAAAGATTTTATTTTTTATTTATTTGGCAGAGAGATACAGAGAGAGAACAAGTAGGCAGAGAGGCAGGCAGAAGGAGAGGGAGAAGCAGGCTCCCCGCTGAGCAGGGAGCCCGATGCGGGGCTCGATCCCAGGACCCTGGGATCATGACCTGAGCCGAAGGCAGCCAGCCGCTTAACCGACTGAGCCACCCAGGCGCCCCTAAATTTTTCTACTATTTAAAGGTTTCTAGAGCTTCTCCACTATTCTTTTCCTTTGATTAACAAGACAAGAAAGGTAGATCCTTGGCCAACACTTAGGTAGATCACATACAAATTATATGTACTTGACCTATATATTACCTCATTTATGATTTACTTTAACCCTCCAGGAGGATAATTACTCTTTTCATAGACCAGAAATTTGAGTTCAGAAAGGAGAAGAAACCTGCACAAAGTCATTGAGCAGGTAAGTGAAAGAGAACAGGTGACCCAGGTGTTTCTGAACCCAAAGCTTACAGTCTTTCATTGATTTCATGTATTTCTAAAAGAGCCACAGAAATCATTCTTTTAGGCAGGACTGTTGTACAAGAGACTTGTTAACCCTCTCCAACTGTTTCACACCTGAATATTAGTGCCAGAAATTCTTCTAATATAGGATGACAATGCCATTTCTTTCACACTTCAAGATTTTAAAAACAGAACACAATCTATTCTCAACACAGCACACATTACACACATTACACAATAAAGTTCAAGAGATTGATACTACCAAATTTTTTCTACACAGAGATAATCAAGCAGTCTAAGACCAGAATGAATGAAGTCGAATGAAGCCCTGATGGGGGGAGGGGGAAAAAGTCAGGCTAGGCCTTTAGAACATCACACTTCTGCCCAAAGCAAAATCCTGTTCAACTTCCATTACAAATAAACAAAAATCCATATGTGGTATAGTTTTGACACATACAAATTACACATTTACAATTTCACAAGAACATGAAGTATATAAGAATAGGAGTCACAAAATCTCAGAAAAAAAATCTTCAGTCTGATATCCAGCTGAAAATCAGGTTATTCTAAATTAGAAGTTATTAAAGGGACAAATGTGCTCAGAGAAGTTACAGTATAATATTATTTGTGACAACTATCAGTAACTACCTAGAAAATAAAAACAGAGATTAGAAATCATATTTTTCTTTAAAACAACAATCTCATGCTATCATGCATCATCTTGGGTCCAGATAATGAACTTTGTAAAACTGACAAACACCTTACAATCTTTCTAAACACATTGCATAAATGATCTAAAGATCTAAAACAGTTCATCTCTACACCCTGTTGCCATAATTACTAATGCTTAAAAGAATGACAAATTTCTTTACCTATAAAAAAAGGGGAAACTCATTAATATTTGTAAAACCCAATTCCTTTTTTAAAAGTGATTCCTCTCCTGACCTTTCATCATTTCCCTGGCCCAACTGCCTCCATCAGTAAGTATGAAGCTGTAAAATAAATATCGTTTAACTATCCACAATGCACTCTTAACATTTTAAACAAGACAACTGATTTAATGTTAAAGCCAAATGATTTTTCAATATTAATCACACAGAAAGTCAGAAGACTGAGATCTCCTCCACTAAACAAACCATTATTTTTTCACCTTCATGGAACAAATCAAAAACTCCCATTATAACATCCACGATCATGTAGTTTACTCCTCACACTAAATGAAAATTAGCCACTACAGTTTTCTACGCTACTCTAGACTCTGTCATCATCTAAGAAGACTTCAATGTCAATGTGGATGATTCATTCAAATACCTAGCTGCATAGCTTCTTGACCATGTAACAACAAAACCCTTCCCCCTGTGCTCCAATTTATCAACCCTCTCAATTCTCAGACCTCAAATTGCCCTACCTCTGAAATCTTAACCTCCAACCTCCCACTCTCAGACCACAGCCTTCTAATACTCCTATTCCTCTTTGCTTTCTAAAAATTAGGGAAGCCTCACTGTCCCTTTCATGGAAACTTCTAACTCATCAGTGGTAGTGCTGTTTTCCCGCAAAATCAGTTTTAGACATACACCGCTTGGATTCCAAGGTTCACCTCTTAAACATCCTCCTGTGAACGCTTGTAATTAAGTAAAGGCTAAAATGCACATTCTCTATTCCTACATCACAGTAAAAATAAGGCCACAAGAATTTCTTCTCCTAAGTTTAAGATTTTTACCACCAAAAAATTCACCATTTCCATCCTCATTTGGAAACACAAAACTACTGTTTTCACTTATCTCAACTCTCAGCCATCAACATCTGCCCTACCATAGCCCACAGCTATTCCAAAATGTGTGCCAGTTCTCAACCTTTGCTCTCAATCTCTGGACCTTTGTTCCCAACTTTCAGCATCTACATTTCCCTCAGTGAATTGAGACAAAGTGATCAGTCAACCACAGATAAAATCCTATAAAACAATGACCAAGTTCCATACACTCATGTACCCAATCCTTGACGATTCTGCATTCCTTTTTCCAGTCTTGAGGAGGGAAAGGGGATGTGTCGTTTCTACTATGTTTTAAATGCCATCCTTTCTACCTACTTCTAAACCTATGGCTTCAACCTCTACCCACATACTGTTTTCTGTTTTCACACATATATAACAAACCTTATTTTAACTTGCCTCCTCCTCTATTTCCTTCTGGTTTCTCAGTGAAACTCCCCCCATGACAGAAAGTCTACACGCCCTGTCATTATTTCATTTGCCACTGACATTACAGCATAATGCAATCTTCCTTCTAATTCCGCCACTTGAAAATGCTCTTGTTGTGGCCAATAATTTATTAATTGTCAAATCAAAAAGATCTTTATTTTAACTAACCTCTCTATGTTACTTAACATTGCTGATAATGCTTCCTCTGTTGGCTTTTCTAAAACAGTCCTTCCCAGTTCTTATACCACTACGTGCTTTCTTCAACACCTTCAATAATCTAAATGTTCTAAGAGGCAAGAATTTTAAAGCAGGTATTATAATTACGTTCAATTACATTAAGGAAAATAAGCTCACTATGAACAAAAAGATAAGAAATCACAAGACAGAAAAATAAAAAGTATAAAAAAGAACCAAATGCACATTTTAGAAAAGAAAAATACAATATGTGAAATAAATATCAGATAGACATAATGGCAGAATGCAGAGGAAAAAGGCAGTGAGCCTGAACACAGAAAAAGAGAAATTATCCAATCTCAGTAACAGAAAGTATTAAGATTGAAAAATAGGAGCCTCACATTGCCTGGGTGGCTCAGTCAGTTAAGCGTCTGTCTTCAGCTCAGGTCATGATCCCAGGGTCCTGGGATCGAGCCCTGCATGGGGCTCCCTGCTCAGCAGGGAGTCTGCTTCTCCTTCTCCCTCTGCCTCTCCCCCTGCTTGTGCTCTCTCTCACTCTTTCTCTATTAAGTAAATAAAATCTTAAAAAAAAAAAAAGGAAAAAGAAAAATAGGAGCCTCAAGGACCTCTGAAACAATCTCCAAAAGTCTAACATATGTATAATAATATACCAAAAGAAAAGAGAATGAGGAAGAAAAGAATTTTGATAAAAAAATTTCCTAAAATTGATAAAAGACACAAATTTACAGATTCGAGATGCTCACAAATTCCAAGCAGGATAAATACAAACAAAACTACATGCAAACCTCTGAAAACCAAAACTAATGGAAAATCATGAACTCAACAAGAGAAAAATGACACATAACTTTTAGAAAACAAAGATTCAAAAATAGCAGACATCTCCTTTGAAATTATGGAGGCCACAAAATAGTGGAAGGACTGTTTTACATGCACTTTATAGTGCTGAAGGACAACACCATCAACACAGAATTCTACACCCATTAAAAACATCCCTCAAGAATTAGGTGAAATAAATCCATTGTCAGATAAAAAAAAAATTCTTCCACAGCAGACCTGTCCACTAGAAATGCCAAAGGAAATTCTGTAGGCTAAAGGGAAATTATGCCAGATCAACCTCATATCTTTGGCAAAGAAAAAAGAGCTTCAGGAATAGTAAATATGTGAGTAAATATAAAAACTACTTTTTTTCTTCTTAACGTCTTTAAAATACACATGACTGCCTAAAGCAAAAACTGTCTTTTAAAGTTTATAATGTACATAGATGTGATACATATCACAACTATAGCTAAAGAATAGTAAATATAAATGGATAGGTAAGGTTCCAAGGTCTCTAAATTTCCTACGAGATTACACTATTAATTCTAAGCAAAGTGTAAAGTTAATGATTGTTTATTGTGATCTCCAGAGAAATGACTTTTAACAAATGCAAATGGGTATAACTAAAAAGTCAATAGGTAAATTAAAATGGAATTCTAAAAATTGTTCAAATAAATACAAAAGAACGCAGGGCAATGAGAAACAAGAAATAAAACCAGAAAGGACAAACAGAAAA